TGAAACAGGCTGTGTGGTGATCCTAATTTTAAAAAAGAAGACTTTGACTGCTGGCCTGAAAGAATTCAAGTAGGATCCATGAGAGAGGGACACAGACATTGGATTGCTCGATGAGGAAGAAATTCATAAGGGACTTTGTATGGATCAAATGAGATGCCTACCTTTGGGAATGGAGTTGCTCAAATAAGACTGGGAGAGTTTGATCAAGGTCATCTTAGTGGGTTTTGAGGATCAGAACTGTGGCTGGACCATAGGAACTTAGTGTTGTTTTTACCTGAGCATCTGTGGTTCTGAATTTTAAATGAAGATATTCCATGGAGAGTTGTGCCATTTTAATGAAAATTGTTTTAAAGATCTAGTCCTAGAATTGCTTCTGGAATGCGTGAAGTCTTTCATGGCTTAATGTAGGTCTAAATCACTGGCATGAGAATGAACCCCAGTTTTGATCAAGAATGAACTGAAAAAACCTCAGGATCCTAATTTTGGGTGGTAGGACCTAGTGTTAGCACCACTAAACTAGAATTGGGTAAGACACAAAATTAAGGTATAGATAGCAGACCTTGGGACATAAAGAAAAAATCTCTTTGAAGAAAGTCTGCAGTCCCTTGAATGATCTTCTGCTTGGACTTTAGAGAAGTCAGAATAATGTTGCAAATAACCCACCTTAAATTCTTTACAGTGAAGTTGTATCATATGTGCCTTTAATCTAAGCAATTTGAGCTATATAGATATATATTAAGTAGTGCTATAAAACTGTCATCTATATTTGTATTTTCTATATTAAAATGTACTTTATAGAGTGATTTAGGGGATTTTCAAGAGCAACCTTAACTTTGTAATTCTACCCTCCTTTGCTGACAGAGATCCAAAACTCTACAGTAGGGTACTTGCTGACTTTTATCAAGCCAAAAACATATTTTCTTCATGGTCAAGTCCCACATTCTCTGTGAAACCCTTCCTGCCAGCCACAGCTAAGACTGGGCAGCCCTGTCTCAGCCTCTGGTGGGACTTCTTGTGTGCACGCCAAATTCGGGCATTGAAATATTCCTTGTTCTCCATTTGTGGCTTGGGTACATCTGGCTTCTCTAATTACACTGCTCATCCCTTGCCTGAGGAACCGAGTCACTCATCTCCCTGGAGTTCTCCAGGCATGGTGCACCGCATGGATGATTATTTAGTTGAGCTGGGCTCACCTGATCCTTAATTGAGAAGAGGGACTTGCAGGAGCCTCCTGTGACCTCCCAGATGAAAGGATCTTTACATGAAACTTGCTTCCCTTACGGCAGCCTCATCCATATATAAAGGCTAAGGATATCTGCCTATAAAAGGCAATACAATAAAGGAGGCACCCTATTGGTTAATTTGTTAAATAGACACCCTATTTGTTAAATAAATATACATAAATTTATATTTTAAATATAAATATATTTTCTTTATGTCCTATGTATAGGTCCGTGTTGTTTTAGGTTTCTTTCCTCCATATATGTCCATGTTCTCACAAGAGGTTTCCAATTACTTCTGAAGTATTCTCTGTCCCTTTGGGAGTTTTTCATATAAACTGGTTAATTTCATAGATACAAATACTTACTTGAGATTCATATTTTACACAAAATATAGTATTAATGGCTTGAAAAGTGTTCCTCACTTAAGAACCATGGCTTCTTCTCCTTCCTGCTTCTTCAAATTAATGCTATGAAGGCATGAAAATTGGTGTATTCCAAATACCTACAGATTCAGGTTTCCTATGGAAGGATTTTCAGTTACAAACCCCTGGAGATGGTGAAGAAAAGGCATGCTGCAGTCCATGGGGCCACAAAGAGTCAGACACAACTTAGTTACTGAACAACAACAATAATAAGGATAACGGTAATAGCAAACAGCTGGTAGTTTTTGGCACATGCTATATTTCATATATATTAATTTGATAAACACTCACCAGAACCCTATGAAAAACAAGGACAGAAAAGTAAGGTAACTTACAGAGGTACTAGTGGTGGAGCTGGAATTTGAACCCAGGCAATCCCAAGCTTACTTTTTCTTCACCAAACATCATACATGGTGGCTAAAAGCCAAGGCCCTGTGACCAGCCAAAGTTGTATTTAAGTGCTGGCAATCTAATTTACTTAACACACATGATTTTTTTTTAATAAGCTGTAAAATGAATATAGTAAGTAATAGGATCTAACCCAAACATCGTTGGGGAATTGTGATCTCTGGCATGTAGTATGTGCTCGGTAGATGTTAGTATTATTTATAAAGTGAAAAGTGAAAGTCGCTCTGGCGTATCCGACTAATTGCAACCCCATGGACTATACAGTCCATGGAATTCTCCAGGCCAGAATACTGGACTGGGTATCCGTTCCCTTCCCCTGGGGATCGTCCCAACCTAGGAATCAAACCCAGGTCTCCTGAATTGCAGGCATTCTTTACCAGCTGAGCCACCAGGGAAGCCCAAGAATACTGGAGTGGAGAGCCTATCCCTTCTCCAGGGATCTTCCCCACCCGGGAATCAAGCCAGGGTCTCCTGCATTGCAGGTGGGTTCTTTACCAGTTGAACTACCAGGGATTTATAAAGATGGACATAGAAGGGCTTTCAGTTGCTGGGTATAAAGCAGTCTGGTGTTTTGTATATTATGGGCACAGAGGAGAGAGGAGTTGTAGAATAAAAGAGGTAGAGGGTGCCTGTATTCTTGTTTCAGCTTTTGTAGTTTAACCTGCTTTGTAGGGTGTGTACAGAAACCTTGCTTCAGGCCTGTGGTTCAACTCCGTCCATTTGTAGTAAGTTCACCTCACTTTACAGCTGACAGTCCTGGATCTTACTGAGCTGGAAAACAGGAAATGTCTGACTAATTTCCTCTGGGCGATATTGTTTATTTCCTTCTCTAATTGGATAATGGAATTATTGAGAATTTTGCAAATAGACAAGGGGATGATCTGCTGAGGGCAAGATGTGACAACCGTGTGCGGCATTCCGTGACAGCTCACTGTACACAATCCAACCCACAAAATGTGGATGCTTGGGATCCTCGGGCTTCTATGTCTTTTCATTTATTTTTCCTTTTTCCTTTCACTGCTGATGTGCATGCTCTTGCCACAAAACCATTGTCACTTCTTTTAGTAGTTTTGCTTCCTTTGAGCACTTCTTCCTGGATGGTTGAATTTCACCGATAAGAGAGCCAACCTCGTGTATTCACCTACAGGGTTTTTACTGATGAACTGAAGCAGGAGAGACAGTCAAGTTTTTTGTAAAAATCATGTCTTGAAAAACTCATGCTTTCAACCTTCAATTACTACAGTGTTTACATTTTTTATTACTTTATGTTTGTTAAAGTTGTGAAAATCAGCTCGAGAAATAACAGGCGTAAATCATAATTTTATTATTTCCAAAGACATTTTTATGTTGATGAAATTATGGGCACAAGTTTGTGCATCTGCACATGCACATTTTAAAGGTATATGCAATAAAGATACAAATTCTAATTTTTGCAGTTTTTTTAAACAGGTGGTCCAAGATAGAGACGGATTCTGGAAATAAGAAAAGTTTCATATTATTAGTAGGATTGTTGAGAATCTGGGGAGATTATTCAAAGCAGTTACCTTCAGACCAAGAACATAAGAATCTGAAATCAAAAGTTTCTTGGACTGTCACGAAAAAATCTTTAATAATAAATGTTTGTGTAGCCCATTCAATGTTATTGTGCCATCAGTAGTACACACTGTGACTATGTTTATAACAACTCTGCATGACTAGATGAAAATGGTAAACAATTCAGGCAACCCTGGTGTGATTATGGTTTACTTCTACTTGTCTTGACATGGATGCACTCTTTTCATACCCGAGAGGTTATCACTCTTTTTTCTTTTGATGTGTTACACTTAGTATCATTAAAATTTTTTATTGAAATATAGTTAATTTACAGTGTCATGTTAGTTTTAGGTATACAGCAAATTGATTCAGTTATACATCAATACACACACATATATATATGTGCATATATTTATATATATATTCTTTTTCAGATTATTTTTCACCATAGGTTATTACAGAATATTGAGTTCTCTGTGCTGTACAGGAGGTCCTTATTAATTGTCTATTTTATATATAGTAGTGTGTATATATTTATCCCAAGCTCCTACTTTATCCCTCCCTGCCCCCATCTCCTGCTTCCTCCCTTGGTAGCCATAAATTTGTTTTCTGTGTCTGTGAGTCTGTTTCTGTTTTGTAAATAAGTTCATTTGTATCATGTTTAGATTCCACATATAAATAATATCATGATATTTGTCTTTCTCTTTCTGACTTCACTTAATATAATAATCTCTAGGTCCATCCATGTTGCGGCAAATGGAATTATTTCATTCTTTTTACAGCTGACTAGTATTCCATTGTATATATATACAATGGCATAGGAAATGGCAACCCACTCCAATATTCTTGCCTGGAAAACTCCTTGGACAGAGGAGCCTGGCTGGCTGCAGTTCACGGGGTGGCAGAGTCGGACACAACTCAATGACTAAACACACACACACAGATAGGTACACCACATCTTTATCCACTCCCCTCTCGGCAGGCACTGAGAGTGTCATCGCCCTCCTCAGGTGTAACGGCGCCATGTGACAGCACTTGCCCCTCGCGCGCGGGCCACAGCGGTTCCGGGAGAGGGCTAGAGACTTTCCCCGCTTCCTGCTCGGTGCTGCGCCTCAGCCTGCAGGCGTTTCTCACTTGTCACGTCCCTGGCCATGGCTGACTGCGAAGTTCCTCAGCTTAGTCTCTCACAGTTAAAAGGAGAAGGGGGAATTCCAAGAAACTCAAGACCCACTTTCTTTTTTCCAGAAGCAGAGGGGAAGCTTTGCTCTTCCCTCCGGGCCTGCGGAGGCGGGAGTCTCGCCCCGGAGCACAGCTTTTCCTAAGCAGGCCACAGCTGGGGCTACGTCACAGGACCTCGTCAGCGGGCACGGCGGGCGGAGTTCTCGCGAGGCCTTGCGGGGTCTGTATACTTGGCCGCGCGGCCGTCATCTTGCCTTGAGTGTCCAGAGCTGAGGTGTCTGCGCAGCTATTTCACACCCAGAACTCTCGTCAGAAGGGCCCTGGGCAAGGCCTCTGCCCTCAGCCCTCTGTCAACAACTGAAAGTAGACCCAGCACCAAGGAGTAGAAAGGTTAGACTTTATTGTATTACCCGCGTCTCTCTGGAATTGTGAATGGGCTTTGCTGTAGAAAAATCCTTCTGTGTTTTTCATCCAACTCCTTTCTTGAGGGTCGAAGGTCCATCTTCCGAACAGCGTCCCGTGGTTTTGGGGAGCGGGGAGTTGCGTCCTACCCACCCGGAGACCAGCGGAGCTCCCCCCGTCTATCATTAGACGCGTTTGTTAACAGGCCTCAGCACTGGGGCCCTGAGTGCCCACCCACGGAAGATTTAGAGACGAAGGTCTCCAGATGACTTAGGATGTGTGGACCCAGTGTTAGCAAGACAACCACGTGTCAGATTTTTTTCTAAAAATGAAGGTACCTCGGTCTTTGGCCTGCGGGTAAGGGTGCCCTGCTGCCCAGGGTCACCGCCATGGCCGGCGTGTCCCCCGTGACGTGGTGGTGGATTTTGGGAAGGTTCAGGCCAGAGACAGGTTTGCACAGGTGGTCCAGGGGTTGTTGCCTCAGGTGGCATCTCTGGCAATTGGGGCTCGGGGCCTCTGCCCTCGAGTGTGATGTCCCCATGGAGTGACGTCTGAAGCTTCGGGGCAGACGGGTGGTCAGAGTCCCCAGGTGCGCTCTGTCCTGCTCAGGGGTGAGCTGCCAGTTTTCAGAGTTTTAGGGTCACCTGGCCCCCTGTTCCAGGTGAGGAGAGGTCCAACCAGGTGTGTGGGTGTGGGCAACACCTGTTCCCATTTTCTGTGAGGCTCTCGTGGTTTCTTCCCACCTGGGGTCGGGGATGCTTGCTTGAGTTGTTCCATTTCAAGGGGGCTCAGGTATTCCTTCTCTTGTGCCCAGGGAGTAGGTCTACCAGCCAGGAGTCCAAATGCACTTGACTTTAACTTATCGCTCAGGGTTACTGCATGCAGAGCAAGGCAATCAGAAGCAACGTAACTTAGAGACCAATTGATGGGCCAACTCTCTCATCTCTCAGGGCCAGTCTGTGTTACAAAGGAAGGTTACATGTTTTGGGGTCAAGGAGTGATACCCCCCAAAACTTTTAGTTCTGCTGGGATGCATGCTAATGGGCTGTCCTTCAGGATGGAGGACATTTGGTTCCTTTATCTTAGATGTTCTGCTTTCAAGGTGTAGGGATTTGTTTCCAACTAGCAGTGGGGTGGTTGGAGTGATTTGTAGGCACGCACAAGCCACAAGATTTGAGCCTGGTAAGATTTCTGGTTCAGGAAATTTGGAACGAGCACCAAACGGTTAAAGGATTTCTCAAAAGATTCAAACAGGAGGCATCCAAAGGGCATGAGCTATGATATAACTGGAGGTTCCCCTTGAATTTGTCGTGGCCTGCATTTGAAATAGCCCCTCCACAGTTGGAATATCCCACAGGAGGTTAGAGGGGAGGCCTCCAGTTGGGAGCAGCTTAGCTCTGTTAGTTCCTGACTTCTCGGGCCCTTTAGCGGGTGGCAGGGTCTTCTCTTTCCTCCTCTCAGCCCAAAAGGAGGAGTTTTCAGACTTCCTGCTGGTGAGGGCTAGAGGCACGAGGGATCCCTGGGGGTGCTCTCCAGATCAGCAGGCAACTGCTGTTCTGGGCTGATGCCAGGATAGCCCCTTGGTGGAGGTTCATGAAGCCTCACCCAAGGCCCCCTACCCAAGCAGAGAGACAGAATGGTGACAGGATTCCTGGTCTTGTGAGCATCCCACAGGTGCCCTCCAGTCCACTTCAGAGAAACCAGTGCTGACTGGGACAGGTCAAGTCACCAGTTGCGTACCAACCTTGGGACCCTTTTGCACTTGGGTGTCCCTGGTGCCTGTTCTTGAACTCAGATCAAGCGCACTCATTCCATTTTGTCAGGCAGTGCTCGTTATCTGAGGCTTTTCCAGTCTGTCTGCTTATCTCACGGGGCTGGCCACCTTCCTCGTCCAGGCCGAAAGTGATGCTGGAGAACGCGAGTGTCGACCCCTGGAGGTTGGTGAGCGTAAGAAGCCCCAGTGTGGCCGCTCTTACTTTGCCCCAGGAGGTAGTGGTCAGCACTTCTGGTGAGACAGTGGGCCAGACGACATGGCTCCCTCTTGTCCCAGTGTCCCCAGGTGTCCGGTCCTGTAAGAAGGGTGGCCAGAGGCATACACCTGTGAGCTTCAGTCTCTGTGATCCCCACAATGGGGTGTGGTCCAGATGACTCTGAAGGCGATGCTGTGTATGCACTGCACCTGGGTATGGGTTGCTGGGCAGAGTTGCTCTTGTTATCGAACAAAGGTCTAGTTGTTTGTGTAGGTGCTTCTACACGGCTCATCACTATTGTACGATGGGGGCTGGGGCCTCTGGAGTCTGACAGATGTAGCTTGAGTTTGGGTTCACTTACCCGCTCTGTGACCTTAGGCACATGATTGGACCATGTGGAGCCTCCATCTCTTTACCTGTAAAACAGGGATAACAAGGGGTGTCTTGGGATGGATATCTGTCAGCAGCCTCAGTAAACTATGGTTTAACCCTTGTAAGTAAAGTAGCACCAAGGTTAAAATGGATGTGGAAAAGCTAAGTGCATTTAAATCTGTCTGCAACATTGTGACCAATATAGCCCATAAATTTTGATTTTAAGCAAACGAAGTACTAGATGGAAAAAAGTAATCCCACCAAGGACGGTACGTTTTAATTTTCAATGATGTTGCATGGCATTTTACCTAGTTGTCCTCAAAGCAGTGCTTCATTTCAGTCACGCTAGAGGTGATCCATGATGTGTATCCATTCACACCGTGGGTTCTGGAGCTCAGACAGCCTGCACTTGAGTCTTGTCTGTCTGCTTTCTGGCTGAGTGGCCTTGGTGAGGTACTTAGCCTAGTTGTGCTTCAGTTTTCCATCTCCGGAGTGAGAAGAATGACATCATCTCTCTTATAGTTCTGTGTCTGTGCTGAGTCTCTCAGTCATGTCTGATTCTTTGCAACCACATGGACTGTATCCCGCCAGGTTCCTCTGTCCATGGGACTTCCTCGGCACGAATACTGGAGTGGGTTACTATTTCCTTTTCCAAGGGATCTTCCTGACCCAAGGATCTAACCTATGTCTCTTGCATCTCCTGCACTGGCAGATGGATTCTTTACCACTAGCACCACTGGGAAGCCACCCCCCCCCCCTTTACTTACAGGTTAGTTTTGGGTATTATGAGATACTACTGAGAGAGTTATAGGCGGGAAGGCCAGGGGTCTCCAAATGGAGGAAATAGGCTGCAAGTATCAGACATTTTTTTTCTCTCCCTCAAGCGGTAGAAGGAAGCAAGCTACAAGTGTCAGGTTTTTTTTCCTTCTCTATACAAAATTAAAAGGAGGTTTCTCTTAAAATTCTGTGTTGCCATGACGACACCTGGTTTCTCCTGAACTTAACTTTTCTCAAACCTGGAGCTAACCAATGTGTTTTTCTTATGGAAATATTTTTCTTAAGCTATGTTAATGAAACTATGTATTTGGTTTGGAATTTGCCTTTCCTCAAAATGGTTCCACCTAAGACTAACTTTTTTTTCTTTTCTCAGACCTTGGACTGATAATAGCCCAACAGACCAGTATTGATATCAATTGTTTTATGGCTGGGGGATGACACACCTCGTGCCATCCTATCTCAAAAATGCACATTGTGGGAGAGGGGCCTGGTGAAACTCCATCAGCCTTGAGGTCTCTCTCTTATTTGATCAATAGCTTTCTAACAGTCATAAAACTGCTTGCTAAAAACTAGTGGGGTGGCACTCTTTCTGCCCCCTTCTGATGTCTGTGTCAGAAGCTTTCTCTTTCTCTTTTAGACTTCAATAAAACTTTGTCACACAGAAGTTCTGAGGGATTAAGCCTCCTCACTGGCCCTGGATTGAATTCCTTTCCTCCAGAGGCCAAGAATCCCGGTGTCTTTCATGGCTCTGCAACAACCTATCACTATCTTAAGTGCTTTATATGCATTTCTCAGTGGATCATAAACATCTAGCAAATGCTACCCACTCCTTGCTGCTGCTGCTGCTGCTGCTGCTGCTAAGTCACGTCAGTCATGTCCGACTCTGTGCAACCCCATAGACGGCAGCCCACCAGGGCGTCTGTCCAGACGGCAGGCTCCTGTCCCTGGGATTCTCCAGGCAAGAACACTGGAGTGGGTTGCCATTTCCTTCTCCAGTGCATGAAAGTGAAAAGTGAAAGTGAAGTCGCTCAGTCGTGTCCGACTCTTAGTGACCCCATGGACTGCAGCCTACCAGGCTCCTCCGTCCATGGGATTTCCCAGGCAAGAGTACTGGAGTGGGATGCCATTGCCTTCTCCCACCCACTCCTTACCCATCCCTATTCCTGTAAGCAGGTAGTTAATGCTAACCATCATTTGACTTTATCAGAATTTCTCTTTATGGATAGTTAAATATTGGCATTAATAGTGAAAAAAAGTCAGGCAACATGAACAGACACAGGGGTGCTAAAGAAAAATCTAACCATTTTCTGGCCTATGAGAAGAGGGGAAAAAAAGAGTCAAACATTTTAGAGTAAGTGAAGGGAGAAGTAAAGACAGAGCCAGAGCTTCACCTGCTGACCTCCAGAGATGGTGGGGAGCCCCACTGTGCAGGCTGCTCACAGCCAGGAGCATGCCTCTGGAGCTGAAACTTCCCGAGTCATGCTTGACTCTGGACACGTATCTGGAAGCAGGTAAGAGGGTGGCTGAGAGCTTGCCAGCGGGGATTATGGGCATGAAGAGAGAGAGAGCTGCTGAGAAGGCTGGTCCAAGTCCACTGGCAGCACAGGGGGCTCTGAGGGACTAAGAGCTTGTGGGGAGGCAGAGAGTGGGTTCAGCCATCAGCACACATCAACAGGGGACGCTCCAGGGCCCAAGACATGGTCCCCAGGGAGCCTGACTCTTCCACTCTGAGACAGGTAGATAGTGACACACCGTCTCCAGTTCACTTGATGTCATCTTAGGAAAAAAGAGGGATGTGGGTAGCTTTCCCTTAATCCTGCATCTGTTGCTGTCCTAGGGAGAAAACAGGCTGTAGGTGGAAGGCTGAGG